AGTTTTGCCATTATAACTAAGTCTTTGGAAGACAGTTTTACAGGATTTGCCTTTGGAGTCCACACGACACACCCCCACTTTGTAAGAAACAACCAGGATGGGCTCCTCGCAGGTCACTTCATTTTCTGGAAATTCCCCAAGCACGCGGCAGACGTACTCCTTTTCCAGCTACAGGGGAAAAAAAAAGAGAGAGTGAAAAATCAATTCAGACTCAATGTAAATGTCTGAGCGCCAACTACATTAAGCTTAATACTAACCATTCCTACCCTCCCCTTCACTTAAAGATCTCTGGGGGAGTTCAGACATTTCGGTTATAGGATTGCAGATAAACAGGAGAAGAAAACATACATCTCAAGAGTGCTTCATTATAAGATGAAATCTTCTATTTAACTTACACTGGCTTCTGTCCCATTCAGGCCTACTTTAGGAAGCTATCAAACTTGAATAATAATTCAACATGTCAAGTAAAACTTCAGATTTTCCTTGTGTCCCTTGTTTTGTGCCCTTGCTGCAAATCTCACAAATGGGCTTTGGGCAGGTTGCAGGCCCTGTATGAAGAACACCTTTGTGAGGTAGTATTTGAAAACTGTCTGAGCACTGTCCTATCAAAATGCGGGTCTTAACACTGCATATGGAGCTATGAGATTTTGGTATAGGATTGTTATGGAAATGTGCTATAGTTTGGGTAATGCCCTCAGACCATTTTCCTCAAAGCCAAAGGCACACTGGCTCATCAGCTAGGTGCTAAAAGGACATGACCTATTTAATCAGAGATATTCCAGCAGGAGAGTGATAAACAAGAAATTTATAATTTATCTCAAGGACAGCTGGCACCTCATGTAAGGGAACTGCCTAACACTATGAACCAGAAAATACTCTTTCAGTACAAAGAGTTGAAAGATAAGAAGGGAGAAATAATGCCTCTAGATACCTCTCCTTCCCATTCTTTAGTCACAGAAGGTCACTTGAAACACAAAGGTGCATAATAGAACTAAGGACAACAGGGATGCTGGAACAATTTTTGAAGTCGAGATGCTGAAAGTCAAACTAAAAACTGTTAACTCTGTATTTAACGGAAAACAATTCAACATAAGAAGGGCCATACTGGGTCATACCCATTGGTCCATCTACCCTCACATCCAGTTTTCTGACAGTGGCCAATGTCAGATGACCCAGAGGGAATGAACAGCACACAATTATCTAGTGATCCATTCCCCGTCATCATTTCCCAGCTTCTGACAAAGACTAGGGATACCATTGCTGCCCATCTGGGTAACAGCCACAGACCAACCTATCTTCCATGAACTTATCTATAGTAAACCCTTGCCATTCACGGGTAGGGATGTTAGCATATAGTCATTTAAATGATTCACCTATAAGCCTGGGTATATCAATAAATCCAAATGATCCATTCCCCGTCATCATTTCCCAGCTTCTGACAAAGACTAGGGATACCATTGCTGCCCATCTGGGTAACAGCCACAGACCAACCTATCTTCCATGAACTTATCTATAGTAAACCCTTGCCATTCACGGGTAGGGATGTTAGCATATAGTCATTTAAATGATTCACCTATAAGCCTGGGTATATCAATAAATCCAAATGGCGC